CATTTTAATTTCTTTAATAATTTTAACGTATTTACAGTAAACATATTTAAAATTCCTTATAAATTCTTCATTGATAATATTTAATACGTTTGAAATCAATTTTATACGTAAGAGTGTACGATTGTTATAAAACATATCTAATATCGTAAAAACATTATTATAAAATTTTTACAATAATTTACGTGAAATATATTATTTGAATTATAATTTTAATTTGTAAATTATTATACTTTCGTAATATTCATCATAATGCGTCCATGAAATATCCAATGGAATTTATATTTCGTATCGATCGAAGATCATCAAAAGATAACAATTTTATATATATATATATATATATATATATATATATATATATATAACGTGATAAATAAATGTGATTGTATATTTTCTTTGTAAAAGTATGATAATTAATTCAATAACACGAAAAATTTTTCGATATAGTTAAATATATATCGATTAAACAACGATTAAAGACATAGATTAAAATATTATTATATTTTTGAAATGTAACTAAACCAAAACGTAGATTACAATTTATGTCATGTAATTAATCATTAGCCAAGTGATCCTGAAATGTAATGCAATAGACAAATAATTGAATTATTCGATAACTAAAGAATATATCGATACCTATCGTAATTTCCGATAAAATGTTTTAATATAATTATTATTGAAAATATGTCGATGCATTTGCTTTTATCTTATATATGAAGTATATAACATATTACGATCATGATATTTTTTATTTATTATCATCGCGTAAAAAGGGAGAAAAAAGAAATACTAATAATAATAATAAAAAAGAAGAAGAAAAAGAAAAGAATGATTTAATACGATTATAGATAGGTTCGTTAAATATTTCATATTTCGATATATTTTCAATTGCATCCTTCGTTAACTTCATTAATAAACAAATTAATTCATTTGCCACAACGATACGCGTATTATTTTCGTTCGGTATTATTACTTTAGGAAAATTTTCAATTGCACCATATTACGCATTTTCAAAGTCACATTTATTAATCCATTCAAGAAACAGTTTATTCCTTTTGAATTTTCTTAGAATGTTTTTCAAATTTTTCAATCTACATCCCCATTGTATTATAACTCTATCAGAGAATACATAATTATGTGAGATGTAATTTAGTTCAAGAAAAAGAAATTTTTTCTTTTTTTATTTTTTTTTTTTCTTCTTCCTCTTCTTCGTCTTCTTTCTCTGAACGTCTGGCATAATGATAAATGTTAACGTAAGAAATAGCGAGAAGAAGTAAAATAAAAATAAAAGATAAATATATAAGGGAATTTATTTTATACGAGAGAGAATCCCCGCCGAAGTCTTAATATTCATGCACCGTACGAAGTTTAAAGAAAAGCTAAAGAAACACATTTCGCTTGAACTAACTACCACCATTGTCACTGTTACAATCACTAACCATAAAACTACCGTTACCATCACCATCCACCATTACCACTACCATTGCTCATCACTACCACGAAGAGAAATTATTATTTTATGTTAAAACGTGATTAAAAGTTCGTAACGATGGATGGATCTTTCTTTCTTTCTTTATTTTTTTTGTTTTCTATTATTCATGGCGACTCTGTAATACGAAATGCAATGCCGATTGAACTAACTCCCGAGATACCCTTAGGTCGCCGATGAAAAATTAATAAATACATTGAACGTTTCTCGTGGTCTATATAACGATCATTTTACCACAAGACATGGTTTTATATATATATATATATATATATATATATATATATATTCGAGAAATATTTCGACGTCGAGACTGATCAAAGAGAGGGAAAGAGAGCCGCCACGTCGAAGATCCCGGAAGATCCCACTTTGTTTATTACCACAGACATAAGACCGATGCGATTTTTAAGAGTAATAAAAGTTACGTTTGTCCTCGGGTAATCATTTATCTACATCACGTGGATTTAAATCGAAATCTGACTTAACCGCTTCCAACAATTCATGTTTCATAAAATGTCCGGAGATCTTTTCTTATTTCTTCTTCTTCTTCTTTTTTTTTTTTTATTTTTTTTTATTTCTTTTTTTCTTTTTTACACTTAATGTTACTTCAAGAAGACAAGAAAGAAAGAGCGGGAAAGAGTTGACAGAACACGATCGTAAGAAAAATCATTCGAGAAAGATACAATTAGGTATATACTATATATATATGGTACATCTTTGACTCTTCATAATAATTTATTTCTTTAGAATCTTCGAGGAAAAATAGAGAAAGATAATTTACGATAAAAGAAGCTAATAATCTTATCTGCGAGTGTAGAAAGAGAAAGAGAGAGAGAGAGAGAGAGAGAGAGAGAGAGAGAGAGAGAGAGAAAGAAAGAAACCCTCTCCTTCTTCCTCCCCCTTCCAGTATCTCCCTCCTTCAGAAATTTCATCACGCGTCGCGGGCCACGACGCGTTAAATCCCGACGGTAATTCTCCGCGATATTCGTATCTTCCTCTGGTTCTTTCTCTGATTCTATCCTGGTCCTTTTTTTTTTCTGGTCCTTTGCCCGTACGACAAAAGTTCCGTACGGTATAATAAAAATCCCACTTCAGCCGTTCCCTTTATCAAAGCCTAGGCGCAGTAGTGAGCCATTTGACCCGAGAGACCAAAGTTTCCTCCTGCGTGAGGATCCTCGTAGGAGCGGTAGCGTGGGCACCCCCTAGCATCTTTCCCTCTGTCTTTCTCTCTCTCTCTCTCTCTCTCTCTCTCTTACTCTCTCTGGTCAGCTACGGGAAAAGGTGGTTATTGGTAGAACGGTTGCACCGGAGAGGACTGTAGGATCCGTAAGTAAAAGGCTCACTCGCTCGTTCTCTCCTTTTCTCTCTCTCTCTCTTTCTCTCTCTCTCTTTCTCTCTCGCGCTCTCTCTCTCTCACTCTCTCTTCCGATATAGAGGTGGACGGTTAGCAGCGGCTCGTGACAGGGAAGGTTGAAGAGGTGATAGTGACGGAGAAGCCAGAGGGAGACCAGGAAGAGTAGGACGTGGAGGAGAAGCTGGAATAGAAGGAGGTGGAGAAAGAGGAGTAAGAGGAGGGAGAGGAGGAGGAGGAGGAGGAGGAGGATGTGGCAAATCTGGTGTGGAGGGATACGGGGTGGTGAATGACGTCACGTTGCTAAAGCGACGCGGCAACGCTAAGCGTCTGCGTGGGCCGGTGGTGTCTGGGCCGGGATCAATAGCGCGCCAGCAACCAGGTAGTAGATGTGAGTGCCTGTGGGCTCCTCAACGACGGCAGTCCAGGAGACGAACCTCCCGAGGTAAGACCCTTTACGACGAATCGAGTGGAGCTCCAGTGGCACACCGGACAGCACCATGCCAGAATCACAACGACAGAGGACCCTGATTATTTAGGACCATCTTCATCTCCAGGTAAGACGATCAAATCCATTTTATTTCGATCATTCCATCGATTTTTACTTCCCTTTGAATATATCCTCTGTCGCTGCCACTGCTACTACTACTATTACTACTACTACTGCTACTACTACTACTATTACTGCTACTGCTACTGCTGCTGTTGCTGCTGCTGCTACTACTGCCGCTACTACTACCGCTACTACTACTACTACTACTACTATCATTACTATTGCTACTACTACTACTACTACTACTCGTTCTCCATCTCTCCATTTCATCCTTTCACCGCCTCTTTTCATCCCCATTCGATGCGTTCTTTGTCGTCCGTCCCGCTTCGAGAGTTGGTCCAGGCTCCGGGCAATCCTCCATCGCCCTCTGGGCTCGGCTACCAGGGTAACAGCGAGTTTCATGGATTCTGCGAAATTCCATTGCCCTTCCTTCCTATCGGACTATCGAACGAACCTTGCCCCCTTTACCCGGCCCCCCTCCCGTCCCCTCTCGCATCACCCAAGCCTGACGTATTCGTTACGATTTTACCAAGAAAATATATTAACGACAAAATTTTCGACCGAAGTGAAGATGGAATAGAGCGCGGGAGATATACATAGGTGTATTGCATATATACGAATATATATATATATGTATATATATTTATGTAAATACATACCTGTCCGTGTATGTGTGCATGTGTCTCTGTATACAGAGGGTGGAGAAAGATAGAGATAGATAGATAGAGAGAGAGAGAGAGAGAGAGAGAGAGTGAGACAGAGAGACAGCTAAACTAAGAGAAAGTAAGTTATAACGAGAGAAAGAGAGAGAGAGAGAGAGAGAGAGAGAGAGAGAGAGAGAGAGATTCAAATGAAGATGGTATACTATAAAGGATGAAAGACAAAGAGAGAAAAATATATTTAAAAAAAAAAAAAGAAAGTTATACTAGAGAAATATGAATATCCGTGCCGGACGAAAACGTGACGTTTACCAATGGAAAAAAATATGCCTTAAATTCTTGCCCTCTCTGAGATGAAAGTACAATTACCTAGCAGTGGTAGTAACAGTAGTAGTAACAGTAGTAACAGCAGCAGCAGCAGCAACAGCAACACCAGCAGCAGCAGCAGCAGCAGCAGCAGCAGCAGCAGCAGTAGCAGCAGCAGCAGCGGCAGTAACAACAGCAGTAACAGTAATAGTGGTAGCAGCATCATCAGTAATAGCAGCAGCAGCAGCAGCAGCAGCACCGGTGGTAGTGGTGGCGGTGGCGGTGGCTGCGGCCTCTTTCTCTTTGCTTCTCTCTCTCTCTCTCTCTCTCTCTCATATACACATATATACACATACACTCTCTTACTTACTCTCTCACTTACTCTCGCATACCTTTCTGGACTCCGATCAGCGCCACGAGGTGAAAAGTTTGATCCAGGGAGTGTCGTGTGCTCTCAGGGCTTTCGTTGCTCGTTGCCGGATGTATTCTTGCTCGGCGAAGCGGTACGAAAGAGGGAGGGAGATTCGAAAGATTATTTTTAGAGATATGAATTCTCTCTCTCTCTCTCTCTCTCTCTCTCTCTCTCTCTCTTTCTACCTCCCTACTTCTCGTTCTCTCTCTTTCTCTTTCTCTCTTTCTTTTCTTTATGACGAGTTTCTTCAGTAGCATTTGTTAATCTTGCTTTGAAACGTAGAGCGCGGAATCTAACGATAGAAATTCGTCGTGAGAAAAAGTCGATCGTGTTTGTTGCTTAAAAGGATACAAATTTTTCTCCCATTTAAAAGGTGTGACAGTGAGAAAGAGAAAGAGAGAGAGAGAGAGAGAGAGAGAGAAACTGATGTTGGCATCGACGACTATTCGACGGGTGTGACGAAATCACGAAAATAAGATTAGAAATTATAAACTTTTCGATTTCAACGATAAACAGGAAAGACATTAAATTTCTACGGTATTTCTTTCTTCTCTCTTTCTTTTTTTGTTTTCTTTTTTGTTTTTTTTTTTTTTGATACTTTCATCGTAAAAAATTTTCATTACAAATAATTTTTCCACGAGAACAATATTTCTCGTGGAAAAAATATATATTTAGAGAAAATATATTTAGAGTTGATATCATCGTCATTGATATTACACATACATACATACATACATACATACATACATACATACATATATACATACATATATGCATATGTACATACATATGTCGTTATACGTACGTACGAACGTACGTAGATAAAAGATTACGTGTAGTTGCGTTACAACTTTTTTATTTTCATTTTATACGATTACGTCGGATTTAATGTGGTGGCATCACGTAACGCGATTATATCGTTCGCATATCAGTATTATAAATATTCATAATTATCGGTATCAAAGGGATTGATATTTATTTTCTTATACGTGGATGTTAACGTAGACATGAATATTTCCGTAACGTCGCGAATTATCTCGTTCGATAATTTCTTGTTGCTTTTCCTTTTTTTTTTTTTTTCTTTCTTTTCTTTTTCTCGATTGATAGCAGCATTTAACGAGAATACTTAATGACTTGTAAAAAAAAAAAAAAAAAAAAAAAAAGAAAAGAAAAAAGAAAAGAAAAGAAAAAAAAAAAAGGTAAAAAAGGAATAAAGAAAGAAATGATTCATCAAAAGTTCAGCAAAAATCATTTTTTTTTTTTTTCCTAATACTTTCTAATATAAGCTCGTACCTATATCAGTCAATTTTTAACGGTCTATTATTCAACTCCAGTCAACCAGTTATGATTTGATTCAAGAAAAGAATTTTCTTTAACGTAACGCTGCAAGCATTTCCCCGCAGCAAGCGACGTCAAGTCGAATTCTCGAGCTTCGCTAATTGAATTCCGGTACGTACCTATACTCTCATTCACCCTTCAACCTTTGCCACCCCCCTTTAGATCCTTTTTGGCATCCTTCCCCCCGATATTTTCCTTCCGAGGCCTCGGCCCCACCCCCCTTCGTTAATTTTTTCCTTCCTCTCGTGCATTTTCCTTTGTCAATACGATCGAGGGAATAAAAACGAAGGAATAAAATAATGTAAGGAGAAATGACGACGAGATAGGGGACAAGTGGGGGGGGGGAGATGAGGATTGACGAATGGACGGACGGATGGACGGTCAAGGGTTGAAAGGGGAAGAAAGGAGACAGGAGTAGTGGTTACGATGAGGAACGAAGAGGGTTGAGATGTTTCGTTTGAAATTCGTCGACGTCGTCGCGAAGATAACGTTTTCGCGCGGCGTGCTATCGTTTTTTCGTGACGTTCACCCGGTGAAATAAGGGGTTGGGTAGTTAGTGGAGAAATAGAGATGAAACGGGGGAGGGGGATGGGGGGAAACGAGTTGATGGTAGCAGTAGTGGTGGTAGTAGTGGTGGTGGTGGTGGTTGGTGGTGGTGGTGATGGTAGTGGTGGTAGTAGCACTGAGAGAAGGGGTAGTTCGCGAGGGGTTTGAGATACTAGAGAGAAGAACGCGTTGAAATTACGGATGACGGACAGACGTTTAACGCGACAAATTGACGTTGGTAATGGAATAAAGGGACTTCTTTTTTTTTTTTTTTTCTTTTTTCTTTCGGAATCGGAAGAACGTGGCGCTGATTGACGTTACCGAGATTATTTCCTAGTAGATGCCAGGGTAACAGGGCAAAGGTGGGAGGGGGGGGACGAAGAGACATCGGAATGATGTTGGTCGAAGATATGTTTGGAGATAGTAAAAAAAAAAAAAAAGAAAAAGAAAAAAGAAGAAAAGAAACATCGTTTCTATCTTTTTTCTATTTCTATTTCTTTTCTTATTCTTTTACTTTCTTCATCGTATTTTTCTTTGTTTCATATTCGTTCATTCGTCACGTATTTTATTTTCTTTTCCCTCCCTTTCCTTTCTCTTCGACGTTCGTCCAAATTTTTTATTATTTTTCTTCTTTATCCTAAGTCAATCCCTTTTACAAGCTGCTATATTTCGTTGATCCTATCGATGAGAGAAGACAAGCTTCGATGCATCACTCTTTCTTCGTTGTTAAATCGAGACTGTATCTCTCTCTCTCTCTCTCTCTCTCTCTCTCTCTCTCTCTCTTTCTCTCTCTCTTTTGTATCTTCTTTTTCTTCTTTTTCTTTTTCGTCCTTTTTTATCATGTCTCGTCCTCTTCATGGATACCTCAAACTCGATTCTTCTTTGCACCGTGTTTGGTCTGGAGCATGTTATATACCCAGAAAATATTCGACGTCGAGAGCGATGCCAGCCGATAAATCGAGCCAAGCTGAGTACACGTATCGACAAAGTTTGTCCTTTCATATTAACCTCCTGTTTGAAGACTGATTATAGAAATAATGCCTCCATAAATCTATTAAGTTTTAGACCTTCCATATTGCACAATGTATCTTTACGCACGCGTGCACGCATGTACGCTGATACAATATATATACATATAGATATAAACACACGTCGTTATAACATTTGATTCTTTTTTTCGTTCGTCAAAATTTTCCAAGGAAATATTTTCTCTTCTCGAGATTTATATTTTCTTTTCTTTTTATTTTTTTTTTCTCCTTTTTTTTTTCCTTTTTTTTTTTTAATTTCACCTCTTCAATTGCCACTTTCTTGCCTCTTATCAACGACAAATATTACTACGAGATTATAACTTTAACGATTACGATATTCATAATGTTCGTACGTTATCGAAATCAAATTCAATCGTATTAATTCTCGATAGAAATAATCTCAATTGTCCAGAGAATATTTTTCTTTTTTTTTTTTTTTTTTTTTTTTTAAATCACCCAACTATCCAACAGTTAGAGTAGTCTATCATGAGAACAGTGTTTAACGTTCGATTCCTAATTCGGTCGTGTTGCCAAAAAAATCTAATATCGAAATATGGTTGCTATGTGTAGTGGTGGCGGGGATAAATTGAGATATGTGAAGAAGGGGAAGGTGAAAATGTAAAGAGGTATTGCTATAGTTTGGAGCAAGCAGTCAGTCAGTCAGTCAGCCAATCAGTCAGTCAGTCAGTCAGTCAGTCAGCCAATCAGTCAGTCAGTCAGCCAATCAGTCAGTCAGTCAGTCAGTCTGTCAGTCAGTCAGTTAGTCAGTCAGTCAGTCAATCAGTCAGTAAGTCCAATCAGTCAGTTAGTTAGTCAGTAAATAAGTAAGTCAGTCAGTCAATTATTCAGTAAGTAAGTTAATCAGTCAGTCAGTAAGTCAGTCAGTAGGTCGAGTAGAAGCAAGCAATTAGCATATAATTTCTTATCTATTGTCACACACAGTGGAACATTTTGTTCTCGAGTAAGGAATCTTTCCTTTTAAGTTCGATTCTCGGTTCTCTTGGATTCGAACTTACTACCTAAAACCGGTCATACAGTCCCGATTTAACTCTCCCCCTCTCTCTCTCTCTCTCTCTCTCTCTCTCTCTCTCTCTAATCGTTTTCAAACGATCCTCTCGAGTAAGTATGAGTTTTCTAGCTAGTAGGAAAAGAAAGGTTGCAAGAGAAAAAAAAAACAAAAAAAGAAAAATCATTTGAGAACGATCATTCAAATATAATAGATATTATCGTTAGGTATCGTTCGATTAGGCAAAGCTCGTCTCCATTTTGTTTCTTCTTTTGTATTCCTTTTCTTTTTCTTTTTCTTTTTCTTTTTCTTTTTCTTTCTTTGTTTTTATTTTGTTTTTTTTTTTTTTGATTTTCATTTCTTTAACTCTCTTATCGAGAAGCAAAGAAAATTCTTTTTCTTTCGTACAATTTACAAAAAAAAAGATTCATCGTCGTTCAATTTCGTTTCGACGTTTGGAGTGGATAAATAAATATAGAAAAAGGAAAGGAAAAAAGAAAAAAAAAAGGAAAAAGAAAGAGAGCGAAGAAAGAAGATAAATATATGTATATATATATATGTGTGTGTGTGTGTGTGTGTGTGTGTGTGTGTGTATATATATGCATATATAAAATTTATCGAGTCGCCGAAGATATTCGTAAAACGAATTCATACAAAAGGAGAAAGGAAAGGAAAGCGTTACCCGAATTCTGTTATTTAATTCCGTGGAAAAATCTGATTTTCTACTTTCGAAGAGAGGAAACGACAGGTACGTTCGGCAAATAAAACAAAATTCTACAAGGCGAGTCGGATAAAGCGCGTCGACTGACTCGCTTTCTCGTTTCTAATGGAGTTAGCGTTCGCTCGAGGATTGAGCATACAAATGGAAGAGTGGCGTTGATATAATTTTCAGAGATAACGTATCGGAAAATCTCGCTTCCTACTTCCTTCGCATTAATGTTTTCATCGTTGAAGCATTTTTTCCTTTTTTCTTCTTTTTATCTCTTTTTTTTCCTTCTTTTCTTTTCCCTTTTCCTTCCACCTCCGCACTCACCACCCCCCTCTCTCTCTTTCCTTCACTCACCATCGTCGTTTCTCTCTAATAACATTACTTCCCTGTGCGTCGATTTTTCTCTCTTTATTCGTATTTGCCTTAAAATCTTAAAAAAAAAAAAAAAAAAAAAAAAAAAATAGAAAAAGAAAGAAGAAGAAAAGGAAAGAAAAAAAAGAAAATATTAATTACGTTAGAGAAAAGTCTCGAGGAATGACTTTTTCAAAGCTTGTACAATTCTTTTTCATTTTCTTTTTTTTCTTTTTTTTTTTTATTCCATCTCTTTCAAATTTCGACACACGTTAAAACAGTATATATATATATATATATATATATATATATGTATATTCTTTTATTCGCGGTTCGCACATTCATACTTAATTCTATTTTGGTTACACCGTGCAAGATAAAATAGATAGAAAAAAGAAAAAAAAAAAAAGAAAGAAGAAAGAAAAAGAAGAAAGAAAAAAGAGAAGAAAAAGAACGAAGGAGATTTTTATTTAATCCTTTGGGAAAGTGGTTTATTAAAGTGATCATCGAAGATAATATTATGAGAAGGTAAAGTAGAGGGCGGAGGAAAAAAGAAAAAAATTTGCAGGTAAAAGAAAAGAAAAGAAGACTAGACGTTTCCTCGAATTTCACGAGTTTCCATAATTAAGAGTTCTTTTGCCCTTTAACCTTCGTCATCATCGTTATCGAATCTTAAAGATCTTCAAAGTTTTACTCTCACATTTTTGATCGTTTTAATGTTTGTGGGAGAAACACACACACATATTTTCTCTCTCTCTCTCTCTCTCTCTTACTTTCAATGGACGCTATGATAAAACTATTTTGAACGTTTTCTCAGTTTGTAGCAAGGAATTAATACATTTTACTTTTTCTTATCTTTTCTTTACATTTCATTTTCACCTCTCTGGAAATTCTTCGGTTTTACAACGTCTTACAATTTCAAATGACGTCTACACCATCACTCTAAGCTCGTTAAAGCAAATTGTAATTTATTTTTATCTTTTCTCTCTTCTACCTATCTTTATTTCCTTCCTTTCGCTTTTCTCAAGTGCGCTTAACTAAATTCAATTCAATTCAATTCAATTCAACTTGTATGGATTATATGAAAGTTTACGAGAAATTGTGATTGGTTGTTGGCGATAAAAAGGAATGATGACAGTTACGAGAATTAGACGGAGAATCACAAGAGGACAATTTTTGCAAGTCATTCTGATATTGCTACGGTGATTTTACACTTGTACGCATAATAAATTACTATACCAAGAAATATATATCGCCATTATCGTTATAATAATCGTAATTCGTAATCATAGTCGTTGTCATCGTCATTGTCCTAGTCGTTAAAATTCTTTATTACTGTGATACATTCTGTACATTTTATTAATCTAAGAAATATCTAATTAGATGTTCGATACAACGCAAAGTTCCGTCTTATTCTCGAGTACGTACACGTAATCTTTCAAGAGTATTAAAACTTCGTTTCGGGATTAGGAGTTTCATCGTGGTGATATCATTCCGTTTATATACCTACTTGTGCCTTTATCAAAAAGATAGAGAAAGGAAGAGAAAGAGAGAGAGAGAGAGAGGAACACAGAAAGAGGATCGGATTACTTTAATCATCGTGTTCAACGGAGAAGAAAAGGAACAAGAAAAAAAAAAGAACAGAATAATGAAAAATGGAAATGCATTATCTGAATGGTGCTTGTATTGAGGAAAGATCAAAAAAGAAAAAAAAAAAAGAAGAAAAAGAAAAGAAAAAGAAGCAAAAATATATATACATATATATATATATATATATATATATATATATATATATATATAAAACATATTTAATGGAACAATAATTGTAGCAAAAGAGTTGACATTTCTATAATAAAGAAAGAGGGGTAGAGAGATAAAGAGAGAGAGAGAGAGAGAGAAAGACGATATAACGAAATAATTATCTTAAAATTTTATCTTTATCGATTTTGCTCGATCATTCTTTATAATAATGAATTCGAGAAATGATATAAAAAGATCGTTCAACGATCTAATTAAATAATTTGATCCTTGATGTTTTATATTATATAAATATATATATACATATATATATATATATATATATATATATATATATATATATATCGATCGAAATAGTTTGAAAACTTATCGGTATTTTTAATAATAATTTTCGATGATTTTTATTAGAAATAAACTAACTGCAAGTATCTAATACATAGTAGATTTATAACGGGAAGGTATAAGTATATATATATATCGTATATTGGTTTCTCGTTGAAAGTTTTGGGACGTATACTAGCCAAAATTGTTTCCACTTTCGAACGTCTTTACGGATATCGAATGTCGTTCGATTTTTGAATTAAAGTGACAATACGAATCGTAGGAGAAAGGAAAATGAAGGTGATGGATAGAGAAACTGTGGGGTGCGATGCGATGAGATTCATTCGAAGGGACACGTAAACGGAAATAACTTAATACCGGCCAATAGAGTTTCGTTCGCGAGTGCCTATTATCGAGGGATAAAGGCATGCCTGTTTCTATTAGCCAATTGAATCATATCCGCAGTCAGCTACGTTCGTTTCGTTTCGTTTCGTTTTTTTCCATTTTATTCCGTTCGTTTCGTATCGAGCCAAAATTTATCAAAATCTTTCATCGCCGCTATTTATCCGGCCTATTCTTACAATTCATTCTTAAGAAAAGGAAAATTCCATCCCTTTCTATTTTCTTTTCTCTTTATTTCTTTCTTTTTTGTTTCTTCGAATTAATTTCTTCCTCTTATTTTTCTATGTCATTGTTATATTTCCTTTTTCTTTGCAATTTTAATTATCTATTTTCACGCAATAACGTTGACGTCACGCAATCCGTGTAGAATCGATTGTTGTTAAAATTATTTCGCATTGTTCTCTTAAAAAGGGACCTCCCTCCCCTAAACAAAAAAAAAAAAAGAAAAAAAAAAAACAGAAGAACAAAAAAAGAAAAGAAAAAAAAGCCATAAGAATAAAAATCGCTACGAGAACGTTTATTAAATGAAAGAAATTTTTGTTTTTCTTCATCTGATTTCAGATCGCCACGATGTGTGGCCTGAATTATTACTTCTATCACTATTATTAATGTTTCTTTTTTCTCGTTTCTCTAAGTTTTTAAAGAATTTTCTTCACATCCTTTTCTATAACTCCAATTTTCTTGGCAGTTAGAAACAATTGCGCGCGCGTCTTTGTCAGATAGATTGCTGTCGTTATAGACGATATTACACTATCGTCTAATCTGTAGGTGTATATATATATATATATATATATACATATCTATATATATATATGTATATGAACGTACGTAACTAGTTTAAAACACATCAGAAAGTCACGGAAGAGGTGGATAGACGGTTCTCTAAGGCGCGAGACAAGTGTCATAACAAAAGAAATTTTCAATAATTTCATTGGTGAATCCTACGTCTTTTTACTTTTGTCTTTACGATGGTAAAAAAAAAAAAAAAAAAACAAGAAAAAAAGAAAACACCAATTAACAAATTTAATTTCACGATATAATTGTGTTAACGATGTTAAAGTAATTATTACAATTAAATAACGATTTAATTACTAATGCGTTGTTACAATTTGTCGTTGATCATTGTTATCGATATTATTGAAAATATTTCGCGCGTTGTTATCTTAAAAAGGAACGAGAAAGAAAAAGAAAAAAGAAATAAAAAGATCGCGATGAGAACGTTCATTAAACGATAGAAATGTTTTTTCTTTCTGATTTTAGGCCGCCGCAATGTGGCCTGGAGTATTACTTCTACTACTGTTACTAGCAGTCCTGCTGCATCCATCAAGGTAAGTTCATTTGTGATTTCTTCTTCTTGATTAACTTCTTAAATCATTTTTCATTTCATTCTTTTTTCCACGCTTTTTTTTTCTCTCTCTCTCTATTCCCTCACTTCGTCATCTTCGCAATCTACGTATCATTTCTTTTAAATATACTCGAAAGACCTTGGTCGATCTGTCAAGGACATCGCGTATGGAATGATATAACAAAATTCGGTATTGGAACGGCGTCAAAAATCTCAATGGCGTAATGCCAATTACATTTTTCCATCGTTTCTGAAGAGTCGCACGATCTCATAAAAGGAAATACCGCCAATTCGATTGACCTTATCGATTATGTATGTATGTATGTATGTACATATTATATATCGTATGTATATATGTATGTATGTATTCATATGTACATACATCCATGTATATATATATATATATATATATATATATATATGTAAATACTATTACGTTTATTCGTTAAGACCGATTTTATAATTACGAACAAAATTGTCATGAGTTATTTATTCATAGAATTCATAGAAACATAAAGGAATTTCTATTTTATGTATATAATCTCAATCCAACATTTCCACTCTTGGCAGCTTCTTTGTCCGTCTATTAATATTCAACGTCCGCTTATCGCAAAGCGGTGTCTTCTCAGTATTATCCAAAGTAATTTATATTTCCACATTCAATTTTCTAATAAAATGCGAATTTCCCATTGGAAAATATCAAATGAACGGAATAATGGGTTCCATGCGATACAATTATTTTGTCCATTATTACGGGGCAAAATACAATGTATCTCATATTCGATGGGTAGAATATTAGTGTTCTGATAAATATGTATGTGAGGTACAAAGCAAAAAAAAAGAAAGAAAAAAAAAAAAAAAAAAGAAAAAAGAAAAGAAAAAGAAGAGAAAAAAAAAAGAAGGAAAAGAAATTCATACGCGATAGAATCTCTTTACTCGGCTAAGAGGAAATTAACAAATTGCTTCTTAAAGCTTACCAACGTTTTTTTCCGTCTCACGAGAATCTTGATGGACGGGATAAAAGTGGTTGGCGAGGGTGATGGGAGTGGGTGGTGAGCAAGAGAGAAAGAGAGAGAGAGAGAGAGAGAGGGGGAAATCGAAAGAACGTTCGTTAATGTCGATAAATGATCACTTTTAAAAGAAGATTAAATCTTAAAAGCTCATACATTATCGTATTTCGTATCATGAAACAGCACATAACTTTCGTACATGTTAAGCAAAGTATAATAGGTATGTACGTAAGTAACCATGTCGTATGGATGATTTTCATTTAGACCTCGCCTCCCCCCTCCCCCCTTCTCATACATTTTCTTTTTTCTTTTTTTTCTTTCCTTAACTCTGTACTTCCCTCTCTTCACTCTTCCTCGCCGTCCAAAAAAAAAAAAAAAAAGAAAAGAGAAAAGAAACTTCAATATTTTACGAAAATAGAACGAGTCTGATGTAGCTTTTTTTTCTTCTTTTTTTTTTTTTTTTTTTGTAGACGTAGAGACAGTGGAAAATTAAATTTTCATTAGCTTTTCGATAGCGTTTGTTTCGATCGTAAAAAATAAAGCGAAAAAAGAAAAAGGAGAGAGAAAGGAGGAAACGAATGAACGTACGAACGAACGAACGAACGAACGAACGAACGAACGAACAAACAAACAAACAAACAAACAAAGCGATATATTTCTAACCACCTTAATCGTTCATCGATCGTTATTCCCAGAGCTTTACATTCGAAACTTAACAGATTTGTTTGGGGGATGATGGGAATCGACGAAATTGTTTACGTTGTTACGACCAGTGTGACGGCGTCCAGCAGCTTCATTAAACGTATCAACTGAATCAAAGGGATAGAAAACTACATTTAACGATTCTAGTATTTGTTGTTGTTTTTTCTTTTCTTCTTCTTCTTCTTCTTCTCTTTTTTTTTACCTTTTTTCGTTTTCTTTTGTTTTGATCTTGTTTTGCTTTTTTTCCCCTTAACAATGCAGCCAATGCATGCGAAATAATATTATCAATTTAATATCAATTTAATGATCGTTCGTTGCATTGAATAATCTTCAAACAATGTTAAATAAAATGATAAACATAAGATTTGAATAAGGATTGCAACGAGAAATTGCAAATGTATGTATATGCGATCATTGAATTGCATGAAAAAATCCAGACGTCTGTATGCAAATGCAAAACGTGCGTGTACAGTAAATCAAAGAAAGTTGAAAGATTGAAAAGTGTATGTATATATACATATATATATATATATATATATATATATATATATATATATTATATAAACACACATACACACACATATATATGTATATATATATATATATGTATACGCATACGTAAGGCTCGTGTCTAGCCGTCGTTGATTTTAGCTTTGCAATTAGCATCGGTTTTTTTACCGAGCTGATATGCGAAAAAACAAGCAAGCAAGAAAGCAATTGCAGTGGCAGTTGCGGTAGCTGTTGCAGTTGGAGTTGCAATGATGGTGCAGGTAGTTGAGCGCCATCGGGCATTCATTTGCAACTAATGACGAACGAGTAACATTCCTCGAGTATCGAGAAAAATTGACATCAAACCAGACACCATATGAGTTAGGAGACACGTTCTTCCAACTAGATAGTTAAATGGCTACGAAGTAACGAGGTACGGAAGATACCAGACGCTGGTGTAATTCCTCCCTCTTTGAAATCAAAGCCGATTTAATGTTGACTCTACTACCTACATTCGTACATTTCGATTTAGCGACGTACTCACGTCATTCACTGTCATGTCATATATATATATATATATAAGTACTTTTCACTTTCGGCCATTCATTTTATGAGTTCACAATTTTTTGCTTTCTTTTTCCTATTTTTTTTTTCTTTTTTTGCATTTTCTTTCATCTTTTCGTTTATTTTTTCTTCTTCTTTTTTTCCCTTCTTCCCTTCGAATAATTTTAATTCGAAATGTCTGCCTAAAATTGTCAATATAAAATTTGCGAATATATGAAAATAATTTATATATATATATATATGTATATTGTAATGTATTGCATTGTATTCGTACCCTGATCAATATGAAATAAGATTTCGCGAAATTGTAGTTTGTTAATTAACTTTTTATAAACAATGAATTGGTACGTATCTCACGAAAATCTCTAGAGTGGATATAGTTAAAAAAAAAAGAAAAAAAAAGAAAACATTAATTGTTCGTATAATTTACAAAATTAGCAAGGAAAAAGGCAAAAAATCGATAGAAATATGAAAGCAATAAATATTATATAATTATTATATAATTATTATATAAGTATTATATAATTTCTACAATTGTTAAGTTTTTACGTAAATATATATATATATACATATATGATATAATTATTAATTATTTTATAAAACTTACGATTAGAAAAAGTGAACATTTCGCGAAGCGCTTTATTACGATCGTATTATTATATTTGATCGGTGTTTTAAGGATAAAAAGAGAGAACGTAGAAAAATTCACGTGATTAGAATTAATTGTCATTATTGGAAAAGAAATATCGAAGGAATATATCATCGATAGAGAAGATTTTATCAATCGTTTGTAACGAAAATTAGTCATCAGTTTAAGAAAATATCGAGACATTTAGGCGCACGTTTTCAATAGTTTCCATTTTCTCTTTTTCTTTCTTTTCTTTCCTTTTTTTTTTCTTTTTTTTTTTTTTGTAATAAGGTTAAAAACGAGCTCAAGCGGCAATATTTTCACCTTTGGTCACAAAGCACAATGGTACTTCTCGATTCGAGGTTTTCGTGCCGAAGGATCGAACAGATGGAATGAGACCGAAGAATAGTAGTAAGATAAAGAGAGAAAGAGAGAAAGAGAGTGAGAAACAGAAAGAGAGAGAAAGAGAGTGAGAAACAGAAAGAGAGAGAAAGAGAGAGAGAGAGAGAGAGAGAGAAGCAGTTGGAGCGAACAAGAAGCAAGAAGAAGAGGGTAGAGAACGTGAGGAGAAAGGGGTGATTTCGTGATACGGGGGTTGTCGTTGGGGCCGGGAAACGGGGTTGAAATTTTAATACGCGAATAGAGATAAAGATGGAGGAGGGGTTGTATGTTGATGCCCATGGCGCCAAAGTCCGGGCAGGGGTGAAACAGCTTTGAATAGCCTCGGTCCGAGGCGCCTCTCCTAACTTACGGCGCACACCCTTCTCACCCTACTTCTCCTTCACTTCCACCTACACTCTATCCACCTACCACCGACCTTTTCCTCTTCTTCCCCTTACCCTTACCCTTCCTCTCTTCCTTCACCTCCTTCTCCTCCTCTTCCTCCTCCTCCTCCTCCTCCTCTTCTTCTTCTTCTTCTTCTTCTTCTTCTTCTTCTTCCTCCTCTGCTTCTGGAAGTTCAGAACGCGGCTTGCCACTACGGCTTGAGGGGAGGGAAGTTTTTCATTAGAGATCAGCCCGGAGCTACAGACTGGTTTAAATATTTCACCGGAACATCGTCAAGAATCGTGGCACGTAATAACAAAAAATCTAGGATGTCAGGGCAGCGCGAACTTTCAGCCAACATACCACACCGCACTACATCGTCACGATACTATATCACATCGTACCACGCCCCCTCCCCTCCGCCCCCGCCCCGTCCACCCTATGCCAGTCTGCGACCGCACGTCTCTTCTCCGCGTGTCTACGCGAAAGAAAAACCAGAAAAAAAGAAAGGAAAAAAGGAGAAAGGAAACGAAACGGTATCGTGTCCTCGTTTTGCCAAAAAAAAAAAAAAAACATAAACAAAAACAAAAACGAAGGATAAAAAAATAGTGACAAAAATATTTACCCCCTCGAAATAGTCGAGTCGTTATTTTTTTCTTTTTTTTTTTTTTTTTTTTTTTTTTTCTTTCTCAAATTTCACGCTTTCCCATGCTCATCTATCTTTCACGAGTTTGTTTGTTTGCTTGTTTGTAAGAATTGGAATTACGTAGATGGGAGATCTCTCTTCGTGACAGGGGATGATTTCGTGCCGAGCTACTTGGTCGG